TGTTTTGTATTTTACGTCACACGGCCATGCTCAAAACTAACTTTTCCACTTGGTTATGACTATATTCAATATTTTACATTTTTGATGTTTCTCAAGTGGCAAACAAACTTAAAACGCATTTTCAGTGATTTATCTGTAGAATAATGCTGAAATGAAGAGATTTTAGATGGTACGCCAAAGAGAAAATGATGTCTGAAGTTCAGTAAGTTTTGCTTATATTGCTGTAAATCATGGCGTCACTTTTAAAGCATCATTGATAATTGTATTTTAATTGACATTTTTTTACTATTATTTTATGTTTCTCAACCGGAAAATGCATTTAAAAAGGTAGCTAACTGTATAAGCTAGAGAATAAAGCTAAAACAAAGCAAGTTTGAGATGTACGCCCATAGGAAGCCCAAACAAGCGGGTGTGGTCAATAAAAGCCATAATTAAAAGAGTCAGACAATTTTTTAAGTGAATACTTGCCCGCCTATGGTAATATTTGCAGCACTGTGCATTGTAAAAATTACTGTCTTGTTATGTTTCAGTCATTTGAAACCACGGACCCCCACCCCCGGGACATAGCGGGGGATTCACAGAATTTAGAGGGGATTTAACGCTATTTAACAACATGCTATGCCCCGGAGGGCAGTGGAATTAACTAAATGTTTTTATAGCCGGGGAATTGACCCGGGATATACTGACAGCCACTATATATGAATACACCGGGATAACTGGGGACTGGCGAAAAACTTGTTCAACAGTTATGTGCGTTTGAAACTTTATATTTTATACTTAATCGTCGCCATAGGGACACACACATTATGCTGGAATTTCTTTTAGAATAATAGTGGATTTTTTCGAAACCAAGAATAATAGACAAAAGTGGGAATAGGGAAACGTGTTGGTATGACGACATCATGCCAACGTAAATTCCGTAATTACCATATGCGCTGTCTGCCCACAGGCTGGCGCCGGGGCGTGCATGTGTGTACCGTCTCTGAATACGTCATGCACGTAGAATTTTTGGACTAATAACGTTATGCATTATTTGTTTCTTTAACCATTATGCAAAAATCTTGACGAAATTTCCAGCTCCACATTCATTATATTAATAAAGTTCTTATTTTCTCCTGGTCTTGGTTCGACTTGATGTGGATCAAGTTAAAGGAATTATGGAATGGAATAATGGGAACACTTTCGAGCATAATGTGTGTGTCCCTAAGCATCAGGCATCGCCTTTCCATTGTTAGAATAATATAGTGAAATGCACTGCGCGTCAGAGAAAACACGGGCAGCTAATAACGGTTTTTCGCTTATTAAACATTTCGCCCTTAATCGTTTTCAGATCTCAGTTTTTCTTTCAGCCCTTAAAAAACTCACAGCAAGCTGAGGTAGACTTGGTGACTAATCTGTAGGGCCATGTAATTGATAGCTATATCTGTAGCTATTTAATAAGATCTGTGATTCCCATCCATCAGCTATCGCCTAATCTGTAGCTAGGGCCATGTAAATGATAGCTATATCTGTAGCTTAGCTACAGATATAGCTATCATTTACATGGCCCTAGCTACAGATTAGGAGATAGCTGATGGGTGGGAATCACAGATCTTATTAAATAGCTACAGATATGGCTATCAATAGACCTTTCCCCTTATAACCAAAATTTTGATCTAGGCAAGTCTAGACAAATATTTCATCACAGCTTGAAAGAGCATCACAAAATTAGTAATATTCCAAAGTTTCGTTGCGAAATGTTGTAAAATGAGGAAAATAGAGCCTTGCAAAGTTTGCAATTTTCAGTCATTTTGCATTACAAACGGGAAATTGCAGCCCCAACACCCGAATCGGATGTCAATTTCCTGTTTTGTAATACAAAATGACTGAAAAACGGCAAACTTTGCAAGGCTATATTATCCGCATTTTACAAGATTTTGCAACAAAACTTTGGAATATTACTAATTTTGTGATGCTCTTTCAAGCTGTGATGAAATTTTTGTCTAGATCGAAATTTTAGTTATAAGGGGAAAGGTCCATTACATGGCCCTACAGATTAGTCACCAAGTCTACCTCAGCTTGCTGTGAGTTTTTTAAGGACCGAAAGAAAAACTGAGATCTGAAAACGATTAAGGGCGAAATGTTTAATAAGCGAAAAACCGTTATTAGCTGCCCATGTTTTCTCTGACGCGCAGTGCATTTCACTATATTATTCTAATGGAAAGGCCAGGGATGCCGGAACGACAATAAGGCAAAGGGGGGCGGACCCAAACCAAGGGCACCTCTATAGAGCAAAAACTAAAAATCTACCGGAAAATTTTTTTCAATGGAAATTTTTATGGCGACCTACCAAACCCCCCTCCCCCCCCACGGGGTCGCCAAAAAATTCCGGACATACCAAAATTTTCCGTAAAGACAAAAATTTTTCCGCATATCTTAAATTTTCGCCATTTCTTCAAAATATCTTTCTAAATTCCAAAAATTTTCAAAAATTTTTATAAATATAACCTATAAATTGCCTGAATCTCATGATTTTCCTACAAACAGCATCGTTGTAAATGTGATTTATCACATAGTATTTTACAACTAAAAGGGCACTTCTGCCCCCCCCCCCCTAGCAAAAGGCAAGGGGGGCAGCCGCCCCCCCCTCCTGCCCCCCAGTTCCGGCGTCCCTGGGAAAGGCGATGCCTGATGCTTATTGAATATTAACAGCAACGGATGGCTGAGTAGGGACACACACATTATGCTCGAAAGTGTTCCCATTATTCCATTCCATAATTCCTTTAACTTTATCCTATTATTCCTAAAATTTTCGTGATAGCTATTTAAACACCGACCTCAAATATTTGATGGAAATTCAATCTGGAAGTTGCAGAAGACCGGTAACTCAAAAGCGTTGATAATGTGTTTGAATTTGTCTCGTAGATCTTTGATAATGAATTTGTCTCGTATTTATATAGTCTAGATATAAACTATACTGAAGCCCAGCTGTACGGGAGTTTTAACAGAACAGTTTGCCCCAGGGGCAGGGGAATTAATGTTTTTTAACACTTGGTCAGTGTTAAATTCCCCGCTATGTCCCGGGGGTGGGGGGCCCGTGGTTTCAAATGACTGAAGCATTATTGCAAAAATTACTGTCTGGGAAGCATTATGGCAAAAATTACTGTCACTATTAACAGACGAAATATAAAACCACACAAACTTAAACTAAGCATTGTGTATTTTTTATAATTGAATTGTGTTCCTACATAAGGCCATGGAAATTAAAGTCAATAAAGTCATAAATTTACGTCCACCCCCAGATGTCTTAATTCTATTAAGATCTGTGATTCCCACCCAATCAGCTATCGCCTAATATTATACCTCAAATTAAAATTGTCCAATAAAAAAACAGCATTTGTAGCACATACATGACAATGTGATTTTTTACGGTATTTCACTCAAATTCACGATTTTGCAATGCAGCATGAGGTACTATAATAGGGATACTATAATTACTGCCTGAGACTACCTGACAGGTAAACATATAACATTATTTATTATATGGCAAGGCAGTGTGCTGTTGTTTTAAATCGCTGAGTACATGTATAAAAAGTTTTTTCCACACATTTAGTATGCTACGTTGCTTGCAGCCACTGACCGGCTTTTCCGCCGAACTTTGTTTCCGTTTCCGCTTGGGGGATTCGTCAAAATATTACCCTCATGTGATATTTCCCTCGAGGCAAAGCCCCTCTGGACATATCATCACTTTGGGTATTATTTCTCTGAACCCCCCTCGCTCCAGATCTATAAATGATAAAAATTTCCATTATTTACAAAAATTTCATTATTTTTATAAATAAAGCACTTTGCCACAAACATTTCATTATTTTTATAAATAAAACACTTTGCCACACAAACTCAAATTCCAACCACAAAATAGCAACAAAATGATATGGCTATTAAAAATATTTTATACAGTGACGTTCTTCCTCACTTGAATCAGTTCCACAATTCCCACATTCCTGATTCCTATCAAATGAATTCCGAATTATATTTACCGAAATTGGCACAGATCTTCAGTGATGCGACTGTGAGAGCTCGTGAATAACTATGTTTGATGGTCAATAAGGAATAATGAAAAGGCCACATGCTTTTTCAATATAATCCGGACGCAAATCTGACTTTCATTCTCGTGAGTCGTGGCCTATATTTGGCGATTTCACCGGCACTGTCACTACACTACTCGATTGTATATTTATGCGTCATTTTAAATTGGCTCAGATGTACGTCATGAGTGTACACTTACCTACAAAATATATTCACAATGAAGGTCAGAAGGTATTCTATTCCTTACATTTGAACAGTATTTTTCGAAGGCGTCAGAAGACGGCCATTTTATACTATTAAAACTTTCGGTTTCGGTTTGTCGAATTCCAGAAAATTATGCACCTATCGATCAATGTTTTCCCCCTGAGGGGGGGGGGGGGTGCGGCAACCCAGGGGAATTTTGACATTTTTAAAATTTTGTTGTCAAAATTCCCCACTATATTCCTAAGATAACAAGGCACACACATGTTTTCCAATGCGAACATACAGTCTATACTGGTTTAAACTTGGTAAAAATTGAGACACTGTGTATAAAAGGCTATAAAAACTTTTTCGATATAACTTGATCTTGATCAATCTCGTTCCCCGAGCCTGCGATCCTCGGGAAGGAACGCGAGGCTCTGGGATAATCCGTTTCAGGGAGGAATCCGATTGGCCATTGAAATGGAATGCGTAGTTCAATCTCTAGTTCTATTAACCGTGTTCAATCTCAACCTCGTCCCCAGGGTCTTCTTCGTGCATGGCGCGTGAAAAATGAGAAGACCCTGGTAAAGGCTGCTCTAAACTCCGTTTCGATTGGTTTATACATTTGACCTTGACATGTGCTTGAGGGTTTTGTTACAACAAATATGATTGGTTCTCCGTAATTACTTCCTGTATTTGAGCTATATGATTGGTTGTATAATATAAATATACATTTTTTGCAGATTTTACAGTGGATAAAATATCAAATGGTTGTATACTGTAAAATCGAAGCAGCGTGTGAAAGTTCATGTACAATTAAAGGTATATAGATGTAGAACAAAACTTATTCTGATGTAGACATGATGTAAATGATAAAAACCATCAAACAAACAACTCATTTCTGAAGAAGACCCTTGGGGACGAGGTTGTTGAATGTCTGTATCGAACCCGAGATGCCATGTATTATTCAATATACTTTTGGATAGACGAACAATAATTTTGAACGTGAACTATTCGAGTTTGCGGCAGTGGATTGTGAAATCTGGATACGATTGCATTGACACTGAACTTCAAATGGAACGTTTATGAGATTATGTACAGCCTATGTTAATAGTATTTACACATTGGGCAGTGATATTGTGTGCGACAATACTGACAGTGTATGTACGAACTTATTCTATGAAGTTCAAAAACATAAATTAAAGTTATTAAACAACACGAATTAGTAAGTATGTAGAACTTAATAAAATAGGTTTGCATAACATTCAGCATTATTAGTGTTCCGTAATTACGAATTACGTTTACCATGGATAACTTTTTAAAAGTATTTCATTATTCCCCACACACGTCCTTAATTATTTGCATGCATGTAATAGCATGATCTTTGTCCCACATAGGAAACATTGAAAACATCTGTTCAGCTGATCTTATGAACTCGCATTGAGCAGCTATCGAATCAATGAGGGCTAGTGTGAATCCAGTGTTTAAGTCAATGCTACCAAAGCGACAATGTTTGGCTCCAAGGTCTAGCCTGTACTTTCTCATCAAATTTACAACTACCTTCTTTTCAGCTTGTGACACTTCCCGTACTGTATTTTGTTTGGGTTGTGTTTCTATATCACTGGACAACTGTAGTTGTGAGATTGCAATCTCCCTGCATGTTTGGCATGTACATGCAGGAGAGCAGTTGCTACAGCATGAATGGGGTAAATATTTGAGCTGACATGTTGATCCCAGATATTTGAGCATATACTGTCGTAGACAGGTTTTAACCGTTGAGCAGAAAACACGCATTTCATCTGTCATACCAGGTTTGTTTGTTGCAATGTCTGAACCATTGTAGTATAAAACTGCTCTGGCTGATCTTCCATCCCGACCTGCCCTCCCGATTTCCTGGTAATATGATTCAATAGTCCTTGGAGGCCCAATATGTATTACTTGTCTGACGTTTGGTATGTTTACACCTAGTCCAATTGCTACTGTCGCAAATACCACACGAATATTGTGCCTTTCAGATTCTCCTGTTAATTGTTCAAGAATTTCACTTTTCATCTTATCAGTCTGGGCTGCATGAAACTGAGCAAACAAACATTTGGAAGGATCATGTGTTTCACCTGCAGGAAAATAACTTTTTTCTTGAAGAATTTGGACAAAAAGTTTAAATGCATGACCACACCATTTCAGTGGTAGATAAATAATAGTTAATGGATAGTTAATTAGTTTTGTTTTTAATTCTTTGGCAATTGGACAAAGGATTCTCTCGTAGCTTTCTGACCCAAATACTGATGGTTTTCGCTTAAGAACCTCTATATAGATGTTTGGCCTGTCTAAGTTACCAATTACCTTTAAAGGGTTTTGTAGATGAAGGGAAGAAGTCAATATGCCCATGTACTTTGGTGGGCTGATGCAGTTAATGCTAGCATTGGTGTGCATGGAAATAAGGCCCTAAGTTGGGACAGCTTGCTGAAGTCTGGTCGAAAGTCCTCTCCCCATTCGTAAACAAGATGAGCTTCATCGACAACACAACATACAACATTCTTCTGATACGGTTCACTTGTCAGTATCTTTCGGCCTTCTCGGCATGAAATGAATCCCTCTGGGTGTATAAATAAGAGTAGAAATTTTCCACTACGGATAGAAGAAAGTTCATTTCCTGCATCTTGCTCAAGTTCATTGTCAATGTTGTTCTCATCAGTGTTAGAATCTGAATGAGAATCATAGTTTGTATTATCTGCAATTGTGCGCATGTTCTGTGGTTTTGTTCTTAACATACCAGCACTCACCCCCCTTTTTCGAAGACTTTTAATTTGGTCCTCAATTAATGCATTTAGTGGCGCAACAACTATCACAATATTACCAGCGTCCGAGATGCTGTGGTATTCGTGAAGAAATGGCAATAACTGAAAAATTATGGATTTTCCATAACCCGTGGGTAGAACTCCAATCACATCTCTTCCGGATATCAAAGCATCTAAAATTTTGTACTGCTTCACTTTAAGAAATACACCATCAAATTTGCATTTTTGTAATGCAAAGCCAATGCCATGAAAAAATGAATTTAGTGATACCTTCATTTTCAATAGTAAGTTAAAATGGAAAAGAAAATAATAATTTAAAGCAGGGGGGATTGAATAACCAATACATATTAATCAGTATTCAAAATGCCAAAACATTAGAAAGTGAAATTGACAAGAAATCAAGTTTTAAAAATTACACATTTTTAAAATTTACACATCACGGCAAGATTACCATATTTCGGTTAAAATAGCAAGTATTAATACAACAATAAATTAATAGTTAAAAAACAGAAAATAGTTTGCCATAAATTTTCGCCTGCTCCCACCCCCCTACATTATTGGCGGGAATTTTCGAAATTCTTAATTGAAACTTTTTACGATGGCTACCTATCAGGCAGTAACTCCGGAGAAAAAATATTTAAGAATAGATGAAAAAATATGTAGGCTTTGTGGTGATGCGAAAAATTATAGCAAGTCGACGTCCATATTTAGTAAAGCTGGGAAAGAAAAAGGACTCGCAAAAAAAATCGAAAAAATATTAAATGTTGTGATTGATGAGTCGCAGAAATCTCGTCTGCCATGCAACGTCTGTCGACGATGTCAGGAGTGTTTAGAAAAGTTCGACGAATTTAAAGCTGTTGTATTCCAAACCCAAGAAATGATCAAGACAAACAGTTCCTCCAAGAGATGTGCAAAGTCATCCCAGCCTGAACCAGCCAAGAAATCTCATCCCAAGAAACTGCAATACGATGTATCAACCAATGCCAAATCTCAAAATATAAACAACCAAGAAAATAGATCGGATAATGTGCCGTCAACCCATGAATTAATATCAACATGTGGCCTAAATGATAAGATGGTTTGTATTGTTTGACTTTTATATTCATCACTTGACCCCATAAAAAATTTATACTGTCACTCATATATCCTCCCCGACTGAAGTCTCCCCCTCCTCCCTCTGTCTCTAAAGACTCCAGATATGTCTCTCTCTATACACACCTGCTATCGTGCCTGTTTGAAGCCCCCCCCTCCCTGTCTCCAAAGGCTCCAGATGTCTCTAGCTCTCTAACACACTTGATATCACGCTTTTATACGAAGAAATTTACTTAGCCCTCTTATTATGATCTTCCTCTCTTATTAAGCTTTTACTTGCTGCTATTTCTAATTCATAAGTACCCTTTCCTCACACAAAAGCCGTAAAACATTTTGTAATGGTACACCAGAGGATCGTTGTCGAACAATCTTCATATTTTGTATGACGGAACTTTCCCTACAGGTACATATGTACCACAAAAAGCACATCGCTATAATTCTTTTAAAATATACTCAATTTATAAATGCTTTTGTATTCAAGTAAACTTCCTGACAGTTCTCATTTATTGCTTGTAATTATTGTAAAAGATATGACCTGGTGAAATTGCGTGTTTTTAACTCTATGTACCCCCAAAATCCACATGCGCAAAAACGCATGTACTTTGTTTGAAATATAATGTTATAACACTATTCAAGGTTTTCCGACTAAACAAACCCCCCAAAAGTTTATAACATCATATTTTGCAAACTTAGTCTTAAAGTTTCAGATTATACAGTTACCAATTGGTCCGTTTTTTTAATTTTCAGGTTACACATTTTGGTAATAGTACGAAAAAATTCTTCCAAGTGTTTCTCTCGCCAAAAAAAAATTTCAAAAGCTAACGCGTGTATAGGTAACCTAAAACGGTACATCTAGTCAACCGCCATGTTAACTTATACTTAATGACTATAAATCAAGCTAGGCGCTAGCTTGTGGTTTTTGGGGTATCTTGGTTTTTGGGGTACATATACCCGTAAGCCGCATTTTAGTAATCTGTGTTTTATTAATCTTCATATTCCTTCTGAAAATGCACGTTAAACCTGAAAAATACACAACTTCGACGTTTCCAGCGAAAACCCTTCGTTTGCAAGTTAGTGTATAAAGACGACGAAATGCATTCGCTTGAAACGTTGAAGTTTTCTCTTATTTAAGGTTTTTTTACGATTTTGTGGGTCCAATCTGTCTGAAATGTAATTCGAAATTTGTTTGTTGCCCAGATAAACCAGTCTGATATGCCACTGGACACGGACTCCGTACACAGACTTCTAAACACCGTGTCAACAAAGATTGCCATCCCTGGTGGCCGAGGCAGTGTTGCGCATTCCTTCTGTTAAAAAACATATAAAATACAAAATACTTCAAGAAATTGATGAAGACTGCACGAAGCTTTGCTCCAAGAAGAATGGATCAATATTGCAAAAAAAAGACTACTCGGACATGGTCAAATTTGAGTGGAGTTCTCTATTCCAAGAAATGTCAGTTCGTTGTTCGTTCTTACGCGATGTTCTGGTAACAGTTGCAAAATGTAGCAACAAATCGAGAAACCCTGAGCCTCCCATTTGCCTTTGCTATTCCATTCTACTTCAGCAACGCAACCACGAACTTAGTCTGGTTCAGCGAATCAACACAGTGCTATTGTCAGAGGGCAACGCAAAGAAAATGGTAAGATTAACTGATTTAAAAATATATACTTTAGCCGCTTTGTTGAAGAGTGAAAAGAAAATTCTCTTTTGTAAGTATGACATTCTCTTAATATTTAGAAGTTGACTATCTTCAAAGTCCAAAACCGACTATGGATTATAAACGAGGCGATTTGTCTGATAGCTGTATTGTTTTGGAATTCCGAGACTCTGGCCTGCGGACTGTAAGGCGTTAAGCCAATGTTTTAGGAGAAGAATATATAACGTGAATATATTCATTATGATTAGCTGCGACAGCTTGAAAATTCTAAAAGGATCAACGCGTGCAATCAACTTATGTCGTAGGCATTTCACTATAGATCTACAGTTTTAGTACTTCTAGTTTGTCCGATTTACATGGTTTATGTGTGGTAATAACTTGGTATGAATAATGATACACCAGAACTTTACTGAAATACAGTGTACTGTACAATACCTGTACTAATGATTTTCATTTTAAACGACATTATCATCTTATCTTTGTTCACATGTTAATCATAAATGAACATATGTGTTACATATACATGTAAGTATATATAAGGTTTGTTATAATTCACCGTATCAACACGAATTTAACAAACGTTTCAAATTTTTCGTTCCATAAAATACTTATTCATAATTTACACTGTATAAATAATTTGGTCCTAATTTACATTAAGTTAAGCATCTATTTCCTTGGCAAAACAACCCATATATCAGGGCTGCATGGAAGAAGTATCGGACCACGGGACCATTGGTCACAGAAAATTTTTTGAGTTCCCAGAAAATATTTCTCCAAGAAAAAAAAGATAATTGTAGAATTTTAATAGATAAAAGGAGAAATTAAGTGGGAAAATTCGATTCTAACTAATAGAAAGAATGTTACCTGCACTGTAGGTATGACCTCAGAAATGCAATTAGAAGTGCATCCATCTTAATAGTGCGATAGTGTATAGATTACAGAATGATGTAACAAATGTTGTATGGCAAATGCATTTTTAGTCAATATGGAATGCTTAATTTTCAAAATTTTCTGGTTGAGCATGGATCGATCCCTGGTGGTGCCCCCCAAGTAGTGCCTTTTTTGACATATCTATTCATCTCATGACTTTGTTTGGTTTGTGACTTTAATTAAAGAGGGTAACACTTTGACAGTAGTATAAGTAAAACTAGTGGCCCTACCTCATTCCGTTCTTGATGCATGTTATCTAAATTAGTTTTAGGTTATATTAATAAAAGTATTATTAAGATTCTGAGTGCAATGAAATTCATTTTTCTGTTAATTTAAAATATAGAATATGACATTCAGTTCAACAACATAACACAGTTACAATGACCGAGTGTCAATTTACTTTATTATTTGCAGAAAATTTTCAGTGTTTCCTTGCGGTCCCGTAAAGTGAAATATTTTTTCCACCCCTGACATATGCAGTCGTTCGGAAACTTGATTACTTGGTCTACGTCATAGACTCTATCGCAATAAAGTCTATGACGTGTGTTCTTGATTGCTAAGATGCTTTGCATTTTGAATAAGCTCTCTCATCCGATCTCTATCTGATGTACTGTACTACGGCTAGTCTTGGACAGTAAATCAGATACAAATGGGCTGCTCGTGTTTTATATATTACATGCATAAATATTGGTTAATATGCTTCTAATAACTTTAACTATATTAATACACCAATACTTATATGGTCCTTTTTTTATCTACATAGCTTATAACAAGGTGCCAAAAGTTAGGATTTTCTTTATCGCACCAGAGCAAGATTAATGTGCTT